ACCACCCATCCACATTCCAACTCTGAAAAATCTACTAAGATACCCTTGTCATAAGCTTTTGCCAAAACCCCTAAGCATATATACAATCTTGAAGTAAATGTGTAATTGAGTTCAGCCGCAGAACCATACAAACCATAAGTAGAGTGAGGACGCGATGATTTTTCCCAAAAGTGATTTGGAAAGAACTGAATCAAACAAGCTTGAGTTATTTTATTTAGTAAAATTGTTTTCTTTTATTAAACCCGTTTAATCCTCGGAAAAGCTTCTCTTACTTTTGGAAGAGTTTTATTTTGTAGTCTCTGCTCTTATTAGGGAAAATTCTCGAATTAGTCGATTTTTTAGAATTGGCTAATCTGGTTTTAAACTAGAGACGGGTTTGGGAGTTAGGTATGAAATGGGAAGGTGTTAGGCACCCATTTCACCCAGTTAAACTGGCCTCCACACTGTCCAAAGATTCACAATTAGCAATAATGCGATTAACTAAAATTGAGATATAAAGGGTTCATGCAATTTTTTAGAAAACATGTCATTCACACAAGTCATTGCAAACATAATAGACATGAAATATAAAACATTCATGAAGAAAGGGAGAGGAGAAAAGAGTTACAAAACCATCGTAATAATACAATCTACCTTTAAACCCTCCAAATTTCGTAATACCCATAAATTAATACATATAAGCCAATATTAGGAATCCTTTTAAGGACCCTTTATATTTTACAATAAAACTTAAACCACAACCCAAACATAAAGAAACCACAAACACAAATGAAAATAGATATTCACAGGAGCACATATCATACATTCATTTAATAATTATGGAAATGATGAATGTTAAAAATACAAGATTAATGAATAATGTGTTTAGAGCAATAATAAACGTAAAGCATTAACATAAAAGGCAGAATATTAAAGGACAAAATAGTAAAGTGCTTGTAAAGTAAAGTACAGTAATTAAATGACAGGAATTTAAATGATTACATGAGATTTAAGCTTATGATCTTGATGTTCATCAAAGAAGATGAACAAATCCATCAATTACGGCTCTCAATCTGATTTTTATTGTTTATTCAATCCATATATGACTTAGTTCGCATCATAAAGTAGTTATGGTTAGAGCTTGGCCACTGGATCTCCGAATTGGGACATTTATTGAGTTTTTATACATTCAAAGCCTTCGAATTGAAGGGCCTTGAGCCACAGGAAACTATAGCGCGCGCCTCATGCTTATGGCGCACGCTACACGTAGTGGTACAAGGCCTTTCCGAGATCAAGAAGGCTTCTGGGTTTAACAAGGCAAAACAGAGGAATATGAGCACTTGTGGCATGAGCCACATACATGTGGCACATGCCACTATCTTTGGCCACATGCCACAAAAGCGCAGAAACCCCTTGGTGGTCGATCCTAGGTTTCCCTCACAACCAGACCCAGAATAGATGTTTAAAACACCAAAAAAGAAAAGAAAAATAGGTTTGAGGTTCTCAAACACTACCTTTTGGAGTTCCTTTGAAGATTAGATGGAAATGGATGAAGAAACCTAACTCTTTGTTCCTTGATCCAATAATTTGAGATGGAGGATTAAAAATGTGTTGTTTAAAATTCTTTGATTGATCTTTGGGGTTTTATGATTGAATAAACAAAAATCTCAACTTAAGATCAAAGGGTAACACTTGTTGCCTATGATCTTTTGCTTAAGTTTTGAAAAAGCAATAGTTTCCCCTCCAATCCAAAAAATCCTCCTCAAAGCTCACCCCACAATGTCCATTTATAGCCATTTGAGGGTGGGTGGCCCCATTTAGGGCTGACGTGGCAAAAATGCCACTGTCGGGCCCCGCAACAGGACCGTGCCCACTTTACAAAATCAGACCAAGTGGCACGTGAAATGAGGCAGAGCACTGAAAAGTGCTCTGGGCAGACTCGACAGGCTTCTCGGGCCTGATTTTATTGCAAAATGCCTAGTAATCCGAAAAAGTAAAAATAGTTAAACACATGAATAATCTCAACCATGGACCATTGGTTTGAGAACCGGGGCGATCGGACATCCCGATCTAAATTTATGTAAAAAAAAGGTGTATCATCACCGAACCTTTTAGGGACAAATTTTAAGCGTTTACAGTTTGCCTCCACTTTGATAATATTTTGCTTTTCAAGAAAATGTCATCAAAGTATAAAGTAGACGCGTAAGTAAGAAAATACTTACCCAGTTTGTGTGATGCGCATGACTGTGATGGATGAGGTACGCCATTTGGCAGATTTGTTGATATGGATTACCATTACGGCATTTAACAGGTAGTTATGTTGTGCCATGGTGATTGTCGGCGACTTCTATGGCTATCTACGCCAGTTGGCGGCTTTGATTTGATAATGCTCCACTTCGGGAGGTTGTCCTTCGGACGGTGCCCAAGGGGCCTTTGAAAACCTGCCTCGGGGGACTTATGGTACCATTACGGCATTTGTTTACGGCATTTAACAGGTAGTTAATGTTGGTGCATGGCTGATTGTCGGCGACTTCTAATGGCTTTATCTACGCCAGTTGGCCGGCTTTGATTTGATAATGCTCCAACTTCGGGAGGTTGTCCTTCGACGGTGCCCAGGGGCCTTTGAAAACCTGCCTCGGGGGACTTATGGTCACGCATTTTACGGCATTTGACAGGTGGACGGATTAATGATAATGCTCCACTTCGGGAGGTTGTCCTTCGGACGGTGCCCAAGGGGCCTTTGAAAACCTGCCTCGGGGGACTTATGGTACCATTACGGCATTTGACAGGTGGACGGATTATGTCATGGTGATTGTTGATGGCTTTTACGGCTGACTGCGCCAGATGGCGGCTTTGATTTGAAAATGCTCCACTTCGGGTGGTTATCCTTTGGACGATGCCTAGGGGGACTTTGAAAACCTGCCTCAGGGGAGTTACAGTACCATTATGGCTTTTGACAAGCGGACGGATTGCGTCATGGTGATTGTTGATGGCTTCTTCGGCTGACTGCGCCAGTTGGAGGCTTTGATTTGAGAATGCTCCACTTCGAGAGGTTGTCCTCGGGACTTTGAAAACCTACCTCAGGGGACATATGATGTGCCACTTGGGACGGCTTAGGGTGCGCCACTCGTGATGGCTTTGGGTGTGCCACTCGGGACCGCTTGGGGTGCGCCACTTGGGACAACTTTATTCTGAAATGTTTCGCTTGGGGAGGTACCTACAACAACAATTCTAACAACACAGGAGAAGAGGCACTTTGGCTGGTTATGGTTAGAAATTCTGTGATTGGGTCGGAAAAGCGTGCATGTGTGATGCGTGCGTGATTTTGCATAGGAGTGCATGAATTTATGTGAATTTGTGTGTGTGTGTGTGTGTGAGTCTATGTGGAGTTGTGTGTTCTTGTGAATTTTTGTGAATTCATATTGAAAACTGTGCCGTGGCACGCAAAACAAAGAGGCTCACCTATGGCTAGTGGTGTGTTGCCCCTGCTCAGGCGGCTAGTCGTTGACCGGTTGTCGACTAAGTACGAGTGCTAGTCACGGTTAATGGACCTTTGGGCCGAACCAGACATGAAGGCTTAAGTAGGGCCCATAGGCCCATTGATCTCTTATAAAAGGTGAAAGTAACATCACTTTGTCATTGTTAACCTTTCTTTTGCTTTCTCTTTTCAATTTTTCTCCCTTCTCTCTTTTCCACTCTTTTGCAACCCGAACTCATGGCCGCCAAAAATGTTGTGGACTGGCTTCCTGGTGATGCAGTGATTGACCCTGTGACTCACCCTGTGAGCCACGGGATGAAGTTATAGGAATTCATTCTAGATGCGTTACTATAATCAATTTGCGGCACGATTTGCCCAATCACCTCTATTGGGGCACACCAGAGGTATTCTGAAACATTTTCTTTATGTTTCCTATATTGTTTAGGGCTAGAAACATGCAAATATTAGGTTAGAAATCAGAAAACAAGTAGAATTTTACCTGATTGGACGTTTTGGGCTTTTCAGGCATGTGGCGGGCCACTGTGGTGTACGCCACTTTGAATGGCGTTTGGTGGACTGCAGGCCTATGGTATGCTCTACTGGGCTTATGGCATGTGCAACATGAGTAATGGCTTGTGCCATAGTGTCTGTGTGACATCTTATTTTTACGATTTTCATCTTTTTTCCTTGCTTACCTGCATCAAATACATGAAAGACATGCCTATGCACTTTATTAGCATACTCACAGTAATTTATTTTTTGCAGAACGGTATAAGGCATGGAGAATCTTGTGGCAACACCTTTACAGCCGGTGAATGGTTTGACCAGTTGCCCGAGCGGGTCCAAGAGTGTGTCTGAGAGGCAGGCTTCGGTCACTTTGTCGATACCTTTCCCCGGGTGCAGGGGCGGACTCTGCCATCCAGCATTGTGGCACTGATGGAGCAGTGGATGGACACCATACATACATTCCATCTACCGTTCGATGAGATGACCATCACACATATAGATCTTGTTGCTATCATGGGATTGTCATTTGGAGGACGTTCAGTGGTCTTTGATGACAGGATGAGGACACTGGACCGTCTAGGCTTACGAGCGAGTGTCCAAGTTACCATTTAAGTGGAGCCCACTATCTCCAACCAGAGGGTCAGGTATGAGAGCATTTATACTTAATGTCAGGAGTTGCCTCAAGAGCAGTAGCTGAGATGAATGTAGATGTGGTAGGACGAGCTTACTTATTCTATTTGCTGTCGACTACCTTATTCACGAACCATGGTAACGACGCAGATTTGGCGCTGCTACCACCATTACAGGACTTGGATTACATCAGGCAGTTCAACTGGGGAGTTGCCACTTTGTCTTATCTGTACTATGGCATGGACCTACGCGTCCAAGGTGCCCAATAGAAATTCAGCTATAAACGAGTTATTGAGGTACAACATTTCAGCTTCTAATTATTGTATGTTTTTCGATTTTATTCTTGCCTTTCCTCTTTTATATTGATTTCTACTTTATTCTTTGATGCAGATTTGGGCTTGTGAGCATAAAGTCCTCCCCTACTTGGCTTGTTCGGTTTTGAGGGCGGTGTAAATGTGAAAACCCTTCCTTGAGGCCAAGCATGGCGCTATAGCAGGATGTATTCTCATACTACCTTAGACATTGTGATGTTCCATCAACTACTGAATGGCTCGAGCTGGGATCAGGTAAGTCGCTACGTCCCTTGGTTCATTACATTTTTCTTTTATTTTGTTTTTCTTATTTTTCTTTTTGTCTTCTTTCTTTCTTTCTTTTTTATTTTTTTCTATTTTTTTCGCTTTCTCTTTTTCTGATTTTTCTTCCCTTGCTTTTTGGTTTTGTTTTGTTTGTTTTTGTTACAGATAGAGATATATCTATGGGGAGATGTAGCTGACTTTTTCGATTTCATCTAGGCAGCTGTCGTCTATCAGCATAGACATTTCCTCCTCTCAGGTCTATTCTATGACATGTATTACCTCGGAGGGAGGGTAACTGAGTGGGAACTTGGCCCAAATTGGAGGAGGGTCCCTTATGATGTCCCATATTTCATGTTGTCCACCAGGTCCATTCGGCTGGACCAGGGCATTACAGCTGCTCGAAGAGGGTTTGCTGCCATAGATCACCTGGTAGTTTTTATGCCTGGCGCTTATGCTGTATTTGTGCGGACACAACTCCTAGTCCACATCCCTCGTCTGATTAAGTTTGATCCTTTTGCTGAGGCGGAGGAGTTGGATATAGGCCAGGGCGCTGCTCCAGTCAGGTGAATTGCATTTCTTTCCTTTTGATCTTGGATTTTACCCTAGTGTGCTCTATTTACAGACTGTGTCTTATTATTACAGCAGCAGCAGTAGCTCGGCAAGCACGAGGAGAGGTTTTGAGCCTAGAGCTCTAGATATGACTGTTGTTATCGGTATGCCAGAGCACGGGCCAGGGCCTCTTTCTCCTTTATTCTGGACTGTATAGGTCAAACTGTACAGGGCATGCTAGAGACACATCTCGTGAGTTCGTACCGGATATCACTGCTCGGCTGTACTCATGTGAGTAATTTTTGCTCTTTATTCTGACATCTACCTTTTATTATTCTGCTTGCTTATTGTCTGCCCTTGCCCCTGTCTTATCCTACAGGTGTCCATTGATGATTACAGTGGGTGTGCCAGCTGAATGAAGCGGCGCATTTGAAGTTGGCTGTAGTGAAGCTCTCGGATGAGCACGTATCTATAAGTACAAAATAATCATAAGAAAAATAAGCAATGCGCATGCCATGTATGCATGAAATGCATTTATTAATACTTATGAATGTATGCAGAGAGCTAACATGGTGCCTCCTACTATTTGAGGTCAAGGGACATAGCGCAGGTGGTCATTGAAGAGGCCGAGGAGACCAGCAGTGACGATTCAGAGGAGACGGCTTCCAACATGTCTTGAATTGGCTGCCCCAGTCTTCTTTTCCTTTCTTTATCTGTTCTTGTAGTTTGGACCCAGTTTGGGGAATTTCTTTATAAAGAATGATTGTTCTTTCCTTTTTTTACATGTGAAGGCCCTAAAAGCCAATTTCTTTACATGAAACCAGGCAGTGAAACGATTTCAGAAGGAGACGGCTTCGCAACATGTCTTAGAATTTGCTGCCGGCCAGTCTTTCTTTCCCCTTTCTTTAGTCTGTTCTTGTAGTGTTGGAACCCAGTTGGGGGAATTTCTTTATAAAGAATGGATTGTTAATTTGTCCTTTTTTTAACAATGTGAAGGCCCTAAAAGCCAATTTCTTTTACATGTTCCTTGAGTGATATTCAATATGTTTGGGCTTTATAGTTGTTATTTACATAATTTCTTTACATGTTCTTGAGTGATATTAATATGTTTGGGCTTTATAGTTGTTATTTACATTGCTTATAGAATCTGAGAATTGAAAAGTGACAGAATCTTAATCTGCTCCAACTGACTACTTACTAGTGGCGTGCGCCACTATGCTGTGGCTTGCACCACACGTAGTGGCATGCGCCACTAGTGCTACAGTGGCAGCTAGCTGTCAATCTGTCCTTTTATTTTCTTGCTATAAAAGCCCATAAAATATTTATACATTACAAAAGTTCTTTCTTCTTATTCCAGACAAACTCTTCACTCAAAAACTTCCCCAAACTCTTCATTTCTTTTTCATTTTCCATGGATCGGTCCTTGGCACTTGCTTTTGAAGCGTTGTTCTGTAGTTTTAACCATGAGGATTGGGATTTGCTGACACCAATTGAACTCAACGAGCTAAGCTACTACAAGAACATTTGGGTTCAACCCAGATTACTTCAATGGTTGTTAAACCAATTTGATCCTTCGGACAACTTATTTCGCCACGATGACTTTGAGATTTGTCCGCTATTTGAAGAATTCAGCATCATTTCTAGGAGAATACCCATGGTGGAAGAAGTTCCTGCAGTGCCCCGGTTGGATAAACCCTGCTTCAGTAATACTGTCTATTTTTGATTTCTCGACTTACGAGATTCCATCATATGACTTCAGAACTAGTGTCGTGCCCCTGTGACCGCTTGTAGATCGTGCAATAAATATGGACCGCACTAGACCATACTGGCATTCACTTGTCTGCTTCGTTATTCTTAGTTAGTACTTGCTACTCAATGGCATCAACGACTATGACAGCCTTAGACTGTTGCCCATAGTCGAGCAGATGGCTAGGTGTCGTACGCCATTTCCACTTATTCTAACTGAAACTTTTATTTGCCTGGGAGAGCATGCTCGAGAAGCTAGCTCGGTACTTGGTCCAATGGGTCCGATTCTTCTACAAGTAAATGCATTTTTCTTTTTCTTTTATTTTCTTATTCCTTTATTTTGTATGCTCAAACTTTTGCTTAAGCCGCCCTTTGCGGGTTTTGGACTTAATGAGCTTTTCTATTTTTTTTCTTTATTTTTTTCTTGAATGCATTTTTAGTTGTGGGCCTTTAAGAAGCCACAGATGATGGACCCACCATCGGACCATCTGATATTCGATTATAGACCACGAGTCTATGTCCAATGTCACTGCCATTTAACTGGAGAGATTATGGAAGACTGGACTGATATTTTTCAGGATCTTTCCTCCGAGGGAGTTAGATGGACTTGCCCCTTGTGGTACATAGAGTGAGTCACTGTTTCTTCTTACATGCTATGTGTGCCCCTATATGGCTTGACTAGGGTAGTGGCTTATTATCCCAGCCAAGTAGCTAGGCTGTCCTTGATTACACTGGGTTCGAGTATGGCCTTATTACCCAGTGATTTCTATCTTGCTTTATTTCCACTTGCCTAGTCCCATGACGGTACCCATTTCTGATGTGGACAATACCTCTTCTTTAGACTTATACCACTCTTGGTTGCAGGCTTATTCCGGAGTCCATGCTAATTCAGAGCCGGTTGACCTGTTGATAGCTAGATTTTTGTTAGGACTTGGCATGTAGATGCTTCTATCCTGTTTCTAATGAAATGTACTATAAAATTATTGATAGTTCAATTTTATGAATGTATGCACTTATTATGAATTAAATGTCTTTTTGCTTAAAAATGCTTGATATATTTCCTGTTATTCTATTTCAACCAAGTAAATTCGCAACATTTGCATATCAACATAAACTTAGCACAACACGCTTTAAAATTAATAAGAACACAAAATGTGAATTTATTAATTAGGCTTTACCATAAATGTTTCAAGCTATACATAAAATTTCCTCAGCTTATCCAAATTGACATGTTCGATAAACTCATTGCCTTCCATGTCTGATAGCTTCACATAAACTTAGCACAACACCGCTTTAACATAGATAAGAAACACAAAATGTGAATTTTAGTTAATTAGGCTTACCATAATTTTCAAAGCTCATACATAAACATAAATGTTTCAAGCTATACATAAAATTTCCTCAGCTTATCCAAATTGACATGTTCGATAAACTCATTGCCTTCCATGTCTGATAGCTTCACTGCACCCTTGGAAAACATTCTCTTGATCAGAAATGGGCCTTCCTAGTTAGGCTTGAACTTCACCCTTGGGTCATGAGTGTTTGGCCACATCTGTTTCAGAACAAAATCCCCTACTCTTAGTAGCTTTGGATGAACTCTTTTGTTAAAGTGCTTAGCTATCCTCCTTTTATAAAGTTGATACATGAATTGGGCATTGGGCCTTTTTCCATCTAGGAGTGCTAATTCTTGATGGTGATTTCTACCTATTGACATTCCGAAATCTCAGATTCCATCATTATACGCAAGTACTGCACTTCTATCTCTGTTGGTAGTACAGGTTCCATTCCATAGACTAGAGACTAAGTGGTTACCCCATTTGTAGATTTGGATGTGGTCCAATAACCCCATAAAGCATACTGAAGCTTGCTTACCCAATCACAATGATTTTCTACTATTTTCCTTAATATCTTTTTAATGTTTTTGTTTGCGGCTTCCACTGCCCCATTAGCATGTGGTCTGTAAGGTGAAGATTTATGGTGTTCAATTCTAAATTTCTCTAGCAAAGTCTTTACTTCTGCTTGGAATTGAACTCCATTATTTGTCACCCATTATTTGTCACTAATATGATGTGGTCTGTAAGGTGAAGATTTATGGTGTTCAATTCTAAATTTCTCTAGCAAAGTCTTTACTTCTGCTTGGAATTGAACTCCATTATTTGTCACTATATGATGGGGGATTTCATATCTACAGATCATATTCTTTTCAATGAATTTGGCCATTTGCTTGACACCAACATTTTTAAAAGATTTTACTTTAACCCATTTAAGAAATAGTCTACTGCAACCACTATAAACTCGTACCCATTAGAAGTAGATGGTCAAATCTTGCCAATGATATCTATTCCATAAGCTGCGAATGGCCATGGTGAAATAGAAGGATGTAATTCTGAAAGTGGATTGTCACTCAAGTCTCTGTCAAATTGGCATTCGAAGCACCTTTCACGAAAGAAATACAATCCCTTTCTATTGTCGACCAGAAGAATCCCTGTCTGAGAATTTTCTTAGCAAGCGCTTTTCCATTCATGTGGGTAATGCAAACCCCTGTATGGATCTGTTCCATGATCCCTTCAGCTTCTTTACTTGATACGCATCTTAGCAGTACCCCGTCTGACATTCTTTTGTACAACTGCCCGTCTAAAACTGTGAATTGTAATATCAAACATTGTATAGCTCTTTTTTTTGTCTTTAGTGGCCAAATCTTAGTATACCCTTTTAGTCATCCACTGCAGGACATTATAGAACCATGGTTGTTCTTCTTCCTCAATAACCATAATCCTTTCTCCTTCCTAACATGGGATGCTGCCCAAAGACATCATATATGGTTTCTTAGGCATAACTGAAATCTCTTCCCAAGCTGATGCTAAATTAGCCAAGGCATCTGGTATTCGATTGTTTACTCTGCTTGTGTGTGTGAAAGTCACCCTTTTGCAGTTCTAAATAACAATGTGCAGGTAGTCAATATAGGGTTTTAGCTTGTCTTTTTTAACTTCCCATTTGCCGCTAACATGCTCAACGACCAGTTTTGAGTCACCAATAACCTCAACTTCTTCGGCTAACTGCCATCAGAGCTTCTAACCCAAATAAGCAGGCTTCGTTCTGCCATGTTATTCATGACTGCTTATTGTAACCTCTTCAACATCAAGATAACTTCTCCTTGTGGAGATTCTAACAAAACGCCTACTGCCGCTCCCTTGCTATGCGTTAAACCATTAAAGTAGAGCTTCCATCCTTTCTTCTCTATCAAATTCAGATGTTCATTGGGAAAGTCGATCTCTCATTCTTCACTGTCTTCCACTGGATATGCTGCTAAAAAGCCTGCAACTGCTCGTCCTTTGATGATTTTCTTCATAGCATATTCAATATCAAATATTGACAGTAGGATTAGCCATCTTGCTACTTTCTCCACTAGTGCTGGTGTCCCACATAAATGTCTAACCAGATCCATTCTTGATATTGCTATCACCTTATAAGATTGAAAATAGTGTCGAAGCTTTCTGGTAGCCCATACCATTGCTAAACAAGTTCTTTC